TGCTGAAATACTATTATATATTTTGTATCATAACAATTTATTTAATAGCTTTTTAAATACTATGCACACACGGTATTTATAATTAAGCTTATTATAATACAGTATTTGCTATAATTAATAGTTTATAAATTTGATCCAAAATAATATATTTAATTTTTCATATAAGCTTTTAATAAAAGTTAAAATATCTTGGTAGAATACTAAAATAATATACCAAAATGACTAAATTATGTGTTGTAATATTTTGTGTTTTAATTCTATTCAATACTGTTATGTATTTATATAAAAGAAACAAAATATTATTTAATGAAATAAATAATTCAGATAAATATTCCTCCAATTCTGTAGTGAATAATGAATTAAAAGACAGAAAGTATATAAAGACGAGAGAAGAGTTTAAATTGACTAAAAATATGCCAATAATTGTGGGCAAAGAGTGCTCAGGGAGTGAAAGGGTGTCTATATTTGTGGAAACGGCGGCACAAGTGAAGAGTGCGGCCAAAGATCGGCGACAAGTCGTGAGAAACACTTGGGCTAAAGAAGCCAAATATTTATATAATATTGACGTCTATTTTGTGTTTGCATTGAATTCAGATCCAGTGGTCAATGAATTGATTGAATCCGAGTCTAAACAATACGGAGATATCATTCAATTTGATTTCATTGACAGCTATTATAACTTAACTCTCAAAACAATATCACTGTTGCGTTGGATTCAAAATTATTGCGTAAAATCTGAATATATTGTAAAAGCTGACGACAATATCATCATTAATATTGAAAGACTTTGGGATAAATTAAATACATTTAAGACTGGATTCACTGGATTTAGAAAACACGGAACGCATGGAAGCGCATACTTGTGGACAAACAATATTACCAATCAATTGGTCGATACGATCAACAATTATACTGATTATGTGTTTAAAAATGAACACCTCTTTCTCACCGCTATTATTACAGAAAAAGCTAAAATTCCTGTCTATAATAGCGATGAATATTATTTACAAACCAATTGTGAAGTTGAATTTATACCCAAAATGTCCAAGTATATATTTCTGGCCAGTTGTGTTTCGGCAAATGATATGTATTATTTCTACAAACAATGGAAAAATATAAATACAAATCACAATAAAATGAACCAAAATTCTGAGAAAAATCTATTAATTATATTTTATGTAATTCCTGTCATTGCTTTGATTATATTTATATTATTGTCGTATATGAACACAAAAGATGCTGTGATCATACAATCTACCAAGGGTATTTGATGAGGCATGCGATAGTTTTGCCTGTATAATGATAAAATTATTTTCTAGAATATTTAACAAATAGGTAATATTTACTATGTTCACTATTATAAATTACGATTATATTTAAAAATAATTTTAATAATAAAACATATTCTTACAACACAATACAAATTTTAATTAATAAATTACAAAATTATACAACTTTTCCCGAACTCAACGTTTGAGTATACGATTGTGAAAATGCAAATTTTTCCGACAAATATGTAGTAAATATATAAACAATAATAAATGCAATAAATAAACAAATGAAAACGAGGTAATTATTGGGCAAATTTGAATCAGATTTCCAAAAATATGTGATATTTTTCCATTGATTGTAGAAATGATAGGTTTGATTGGCCGAAACACAATTTGCCAAAACTATAAGTCGAGACATTTTGGGAATGTGTTTGACATCACAATTGGTTTGGAAATAAAAATCATCGCTTTTATGAACCTAAATGTCAGCCTTTTCTGCTATAATACCGGTGAGGAATAGGTCTTCATTTTCAAACACATATCCCGTATAATTGTTGATCGTATCGACCAATTGATTGGTGATATTATTTGTCCACAAGTATGCGCTTCCGTACGTATAGTATGGGTAGTATTTGTAAGGATAGTAGTTGTCTGGTATATACCCGGGTTGGCCCACATGTCGATTACGAATGGGATGTTTCCTAAAACCAGTGAATCCAGTCTTAAATGTGTCTAATTTTTCTAAAAGTCTTTCAATATTAATAATGATATCGTCGTCCGCTTTCATTATGAAATTACTTTTAACGCAATTATTTTGAATCCAACGCAAAAGTGATATTGTTTTGAGAGTTAAGTTATAATAGCTGTCAATGAAATCAAATTGAATGATATCTCCGTATTGTTTAGACTCGGATTCAATCAATTCATTGACCACTGGATCTGAATTCAATGCAAACACAAAATATACGTCAATATTATATAAATATTTGGCTTCTTTAGCCCAAGTGTTTCTCACGACTTGTCGCCGATCTTTGGCCGCACTCTTCACTTGTGCCGCCGTTTCCACAAATATAGACACCCTTTCACTTCCTGAGCACTCTTTGCCCACAATTATTGGCATATTTTTAGTCAACTCAAACTCTTCTCTCGTCTTTATATACTTTCTGTCTTTGAATTTATTATTTTCCACAGTATTTGAAGAATAGCCGTCATTGTTATCATTAATAAAATATTCACTTTTGTGTTCAGTCTTTGAAAATAACGACCAAATCATTATTAGCATAAATATTGTAATTATTAAATAAAACAATTTTTGTTTAACCATTTCTGATTTTATTAATTATAATTTTGTTAAATTAAATACAATTATTGAATATGAGTTTAAATCTCAAGTAAAATAAGAGTTACACTTATAAATGCATTTGTTATATATTTTTATATGTTTACCCAATGTTTGTTATATTTATGATTTATAAGACTAGATTAGACCAAATAATATCATTTTCAACATATAGTATACAATTATTTCAAATTATTTGTATTTTTGTGATAAAGATGTTGCCATAGAAGGTGTTATTGATAAGAGCTGTGATTTACTAAAAGTATTTTATGCTATTTTTAATAATCATTATTTTAAGCAAATTTGTTTATGAGTGGAACTAAATTCACTATGATTTCTTTAAATTAAAGTACTGTATAACATTTTACAAGCATTTTTGATTACCTTTGAGATACTGTAGCCTTACAATATATTTAAAATAATGTTTTTTATGTTAATTTCAATTATTAACAAAACATTTCTTATTATTGTAGTGTTTTATTTTATTTTGCAAATTATTGGTGCACTCAAGTAATTGTTTAAGTGCTAAAAGACCCGTCTTAAACATTTGTACTTATAATTTATATAACTTTTAAATGTTATTAAAACTCATTTTAGTAACACTATTGTTATTAAATCAAGAATATGTTTATAAGTCCGCGTTTTCCTTGAAAATAGTGGTTAACATTGAAAGTATCACTAATTAATGATGAGATAAATGTATTGTAAATTACAAGTTATGGATAATTCTGCTTATATTAGTTATGCATTAAATAAATTCTAATAATAAGAAAACCTAAAAATAAAATTCAATAATAAATAATCAAATTATATAATAATAATCTAATGAACGTATTGTTAAGCTATTTCACTACAACTACACCTATTGTAAAAACATGTCAGTTGTTAGGTTGTATATCAAATGATATTTATTGTGTAATTTTTACACCTATTTATTGTATTTTAACACGAAATTAATCATTTTGTTAAAAGAAATTAAAAATATTTAATTTAAATTAATATTCATGACTGACTTTTAGCACAAAAACATGTGATGTATGGATTTTCCAGCCATACTATACTTTCAATTACATAATATAACATTAGCTAATATTGTATTTGTTATTTATAAAATTGTAATTAATTTATATCTTTGCATTTTCTTAGAAAATACATTTTCTACGATATCTTCACAGAAACTATTGTGTTATGAAATATATTTTTATAGATTATATCATTTTATAATTTATAGATAAATCCGTTTTAACATTTTGATGACACTATGTTAGGAATCCAATGTAATACTAAATAAGTAAACTTCCAAAATCATATTTTTCTATCATGTGATAAACTCCTTTTATAATTTTTGTAGCGACTGTAAATAATATTTAAATAGATATATAACACTTATTTTTGAAATTGATTTATAATTATTGGACTGAAGTGAACGCTGAACATATTATAATTAATGCTTATTTATTAAACAATATATTTTTTTTTAAAATAAATATTAACAACAAAATCTTGGTACAAATTATTAATATATGCTAAATTAAGGACAACAATTGACGATATAAAGTAGATGTAGTCAACATTTCAAATCATTGTTATCGTAATTATATGGTATAATTTTTAACCAAGATCTACTCAGTTAAAATGAATAATATCATTCTATTACAATATCAATACAGTAATGTCTTAAAATAGATATAATAAATAATAAAATAGATATAATAAATAGATATAATATTTATCGATTTATTTAAATTAATTTTCGCCACCTTTATAAATAAATCTTAATAATAATAATTTATTTTTAATCATTAAATATCAAACATATTTGAAATTATTTCATTTTCTAAGGCATTAAAAAAATTTAATTTGCTTTAAAACTTAATTTTTCAAATACAACAAAATACCCATTTTATTATTAAAGCATACAATTTCCGGATCATATAAATTAATGCTTATAAAAATTATTTACTTCTAATCTTAATCAAATTACTATAAGCATAAATTAGACATAAAATACAACTCAAACGTCAGAGAAAGCATTTATTATATAATGAATTAAAAATTCATTGCAAAAAATCTGAGAGAAAAACCCCAAACAGTTTATTCACATAACAATTACATAATTGGTTTTCACGTATTAAACGTGAGCTATGTTTTTGTGGTTTTGTCTGAAAACAATTTCTTAACATTGAAAAAGACTAATGGCTTTCAATAATAGCCGACAAGAAAATACATATATATAAATATTTTTGTATAGATTTTTCACAAATCATTCAAACGGTATAATAAAAAGAGAGAATTATATTCTGTTTCGTAAAGAATATCCAATTTTAATAACAAACTCGAGAAAAGTGTTAAATAAGTGCTAGTTTTTAAACATTATACTAAACAATGGTATGATTGTGTAAAAAGTTATAAAAATATTTTAAATAATAATTGCATTTATTTTATTACAGAAAAACATATTAACGTTGAGTTTGTTATTTGTATTAATTGTGTTATGCGTTGATGTGATGGCCGGCGGACACGGCTGGGGTGGGGGCGGAGGCGGTGGCGGATGGGGTGGCGGTGGAGGCGGATGGAGCGGCGGAGGCGGCGGTATTTAATTACAACTTTGTGATCAAAATGAATGATTAATTGACACAATGTCTTAAAACACATCGAAAAGGCTGTACAACATGTGGCGGAGGGGGCGATGAGGGCGGCTATGAAGTGATAAAAGTGATTAAGAAAAAGCGGATAATACGGCCCGCATATCAAGAGGGATATGGAGGTATAGGACCTAACCAGTGCTGCTTTAAATATCATTATAAACCGATGGTTACTTAACAGGAGGCGGAGGTGTCTGTCATAGCTGTGGTGGCGGCGGAGGAGGTGGTTATGGAGGCGGCGGTCACTCCAAGAAAATCATCATCAAAATCGGTGGCGGCGGACGTAAGTCTTCACGTGTTTACACAAATACTTAAATAATTTTATTGAATATTTTTATACTTTAAGTCATAAAAGACACATAGATTTTCCCTAAACTTTAGATTTATAGTCAAAAAACAATTGAATATTTGGATTAATAAACGAAAAATAAGTTTTTGGGAGAAAAACACTTTTCACATCTAATTATTTGAAACTTTTATATTTTGATATAAACTTTTCAAACACTAAAAAATATACAAAGACTTCATTGAATTAAAACACAATTTTATTTCAATATTTTATCGCAGTTTTACATAAAGTTGCGAATAAAATTCGCAGTGTACTTGGTGAGTTTACATATTTATAAATCATAACTATCAGATTATAATCAGTTAACAATATTAACAAACAATAACAACAATAATAAATAAAATAAAAATCATTAAAATATTTAATTAATAAATAACATTTAATTAACCCTATTACAATGTAGGCGGCCATCGTGGAGGTGGTGGTGGCGGTTGCTATGGAGGCAATTGTGGCGGCGGCTACGGAGGGGGTGGATATGGCGGCGGTGGTCACGGGGGC